GGCCGCACGAGGGACCTACACTATGGCATTTCTTTGTCACTGCCCGGAGTGTCAACTCTTCGTTACTCCATACTCTCGTATATGGAATTATCCCCCTGGGTAAATAACAACCACCGAATATCACTCCATACCTCTGGGTAAGTAAGTACCTACGGTAAGTTCGGGAGATGTCTACGGCATCCCATCCCAGTAGTAATAATCACCCAGATCAGACTGACCGATCGGGCCCTCCGCTCCTGAGCTCATCACATCCTACCCGCCTGCCAGTCTAGGCAAATCTTTAAATCTTCCAGAAAAATCCCAGCCATCCAGACCTCCCTACCCTAACCCACGCAAACGAGAGAGCGAGCTTACCAACCCACTGCTACCGTAATCCCGCCCGGCCGGCTAATTGCATTATCCAGACTAAGCGGTAGATCCCGGGCCTGCCTGCCGTGTCACAGCAACCGTTTTTAATCCTGCCGCGTTGCGCCGGCACGATGGCGAACTGGCGGTGAATTCGATCTACAAACAGAGCACACACACTCACACAGTCCCCAAGATAGTATGTAGTACGTACTGTGTATGTGGTCTTGCGGTGATCGTGATCGACACCCATACAAAGACTCGTATGTGGGTGGGTAGGTGGATATCTAAATCGTACTTATGTCTTCTCCTTCTTTATATTCACCGTGGCACTCGTGGAATCCTTCCGATGCTTTCGCTTTCGTTGTCTTTGTTGGTGGTAGATAGCGTGTATGCATGCATGTATCCTGTCCGACCGACCGTCCGACCCTCTCCTCTCCCTCCCCCTCTCCCTCCCATCTCTCGTCTCTCATCCTGGATCTGCATCCTACAGGACATGCGGTACTGTGCTGTGCTGTGCTGTACTCTGCTATCGTAGATATACAGATAGATAGATAGATAGTACGGAGTATCTACCCAGATAAAACAAGGATAAATGTCCAGAGATTTGGGGCGTGGAGGAGGGAGGCGGTGTTACGTATCCCGGGGGCGTGAGCGGAGAATAATATCTATCTATCTATCTATCTATCTATCTATCTATTTATCTGTCACGCCTACTTCCAAAGGTATACGCGTAGATAGATAGATATAGATATAAGCAGGTAGGTAGATGCATACATCACTCCCACCTACTTAGGTAGGGTACTCACTAGTTATTTTTAAGTTCTGGTGTCGATAAACAAGGAACCTTGGGGTCTGGATCTTGGTTGTGGAGGGGGTTGCAATGATAGCGGTGTGTGTGTGTACGCGTTTGTGTTTGTGCTTGTGCTTGTGTGGTTACCTTGTTTCTGGGTAACTAGCTGTGTAGGCAACGGTGGTGAGATGGATGCGGTGGTCGGTTTCTCGTACTTTCTTGGTATGGGCGAAGTGGTGCGTAGCGTGGTGTGGTGTGGTGTAGTGTCGGTGGGCTGGATTGCTGTTGTTTCTTCTTGACCGACCGTTCCTTGATCCTAGCGTGGACTTAGTCTGGGACAGTTCAGTTGGTTAGCTGGGCTGGTGGATCCTGCGATAGATGTTTGCTTGCTGGGTCGGGGCCTGCGGTGCGCTAGTCGGTGGTGTTTAAGCTTACATGCTTAAGTGGCTATAGCTATAGCTAGTGTTAGTTATGTGGCTAGTTGGTGCTGTGCTCGGTCTAGGCCTTGATGATCCTGGTGTTTTTGAGGTTGGTGAGGCTAGGCTTGGTTTGTTGCGGTGGAGGATTTAGGGCTGGGAGCGGTATGTTGGATAGATTCTACTTGTTGATTGTCAAAGTTGAAGTAGGGAAATATGATATTGCTTCGGTAGCTTGACAGCAAGATTTTGAGGCCAAATGACAGAATATATGGGACAAATTAAGGTGATATACAGTGTTTGCTTGCCGGGGACGAGCATGGTGGTTTGCAGTGAGCAGTAGTAAGCTTTAGCAGAGGAAGAGGATGGTTAGGGTTCAAAATTAAGACGGCAAAAACTGCCCAAGTGCCATCGGTATCTAGTACTACAGTACTGAGTTTCTGTTTCCTACCGTACGAGAATGTGCCGTCAAGTAGGTACATGCGAGACTCGAGCTGATATTTCACCTTGACAACCTCACCGTTCCCACTGGATGAGGTTGATGGAGTCGTCCTCTCTCCAAGCCCATAGTCAGCGAGCACCACGGCCAGCAAACATTTCGATGGCGGGAGCAACTCCGCGAAAGTACTCATCCCCGTAAACAGCCCAGGTGACCTCGATACCATGTCGAGAAGTAAGACAGGCCTTCTACAGAGTCTAGGTTGAAGTCAATGACTGGGATAATCCTTTTTCTGAGGTCTTTCCCTGCGATATCAGGCAAGAGGAGACCTGGGAAGCTGATATGAGTCCCATCTAGGCTCCAGAATGAAGCATATTCCACTCAAAGGGCCCTGTAGTGAGGTACACAACAGAGTTTGCAAGGCTTGTGTATGCTATCAGTCTCAGAGACCACAATTCTTTTGAAAAAAAAAAAAAAAAAAACGGATGACAGTGTTTGGAGAGTAATTGCTGACAGTCTATTCAACTAGTAGGGAAGAGATATGTAGGTAAATTATAGGTAGTAGGAAGTAGGCTACAGAGGAATTCAAGAAGCCATTTATATGACCTTTACTCAAAAAGACAGGGCCTTATGAAGAAACAGGCCCTATCATCAATGGATCCACATCTTTCTCGGTCAAAAAGAGAGAATAAAGCGACATTATAAAAGCCTTTTTTTGGAAGGGCACCAAGACGAGCAGGAAGAAGAATGTGAAAAACGTCATTCACCACCCCAACTAGAGATACCATGTTCTATCTCTTCTTTCCTTTGCATATCTGACCGTTGGCGACACATAAAGACCCTAAAATGGAATGGGGCCCATGATCGAGGATAAGACATTAATCAGTCAGTCAGCCAGCTAGCACAGCAATCTATATAGATTGTAACCCATTTAATCAAAAGCAGGAAGTATAAGGGGGGGGGGGGGATATAGAACACTCAAATAGTAACGAAGAGAAAGGTACAAAGCATAGATAGGTTATGCTAAAATTAGTGGAGGCCACTATTTCAGCTTACAGAGTACAGAGTACCAAATGAATATACTGAACGATTAACATCTGCTTAAAGATGTGGAACCTCGAAGCTATTGGTGTGGTAAGTGATCGATCGCGCCCAAACATCTCTTTCCCCGACTGGCCAACAGAATTATTATACCAAAGACAAAGCTTTCTTAAAGAAACGCGTTTACCGAAGTACCACACAGTCCACAATAGCATAATGGAAAGTTTACCGTATATGTATGAATATATTCGTTGAAACTACGCCTCCAGTAGAAAAAAAAAATTAACATACTGGTCTCAGTTGTGAATGAAAAGCATACACTGTAGCATCACGAAAACTTCAATGACTTTGTCAAAGGAAAGAATAATGGTTGCATATAGTGCAACTGGATTTCGGAACAGACATCCTTCCCTAGTCGGCAAGCAAATCTTGGTGGATTTCGGATCCATTTCACGAGGGAGAGGAGGCTCCCTTGCTATAAATGCCTTTATGTGATCTGCCCCTGGACGACAGACTTTCACCTCCAATGCTTAGTTTCCCTTAAAAGCTTGAGGTGCTGAGACAGACATACTAGTAGTTGATATAACTCCGCAGAAGCATGAAGACTGTTCTTTTTTTTAAATCGCCAATGATGGGTCTAGTTCCAGTCGATTCTGTGCAGAGTAAACGATGGTGACTGCTAAAGCCTAGTCTGAGATCTGAGACTTCTCTCAACCAGATCAGAACTTGGATGTTGACGTTCAACGAGAATCACCAGATGTTTTGCATGCCAGGGCGGGTGTCATACTTTCCCATCCATGCCATTGATGTGAGTAGCCTCGACGAGGGTTTCGTCGCGCTGCGCAACAGAACACAAGTTGAATACAGCAAGGGCGGCACAGTCTCATACGCCATATGGCCGGCTAATTGGGTCTTGTCCCACTGCTGGAGTTATCAATGGGATATCTTATAGTTGGCCCGAGCTAGATGGCAGGAATTTAAGGATAAGATTTATCTTGACTTATTATTGAAGACTTTTCATAATGCCATATGCCTCGTACATCGTTGGGGGCACCTCTATATCCGGAATGACTCACCGAGTGTCTTTCAAGACTGCCTAGAAAATTGACAGAAGAAATCAGAAACATGGCAGGCATCTACTACTATTCATTCTGTAGTATCTCGGCTATTACTGTGATGTACAGCGCTAATTGAGGAATTTTTAATAGGAGACAGATTCATCTGCGGTTGCTGTGTCCATTTTCATTAAGTCTAGGAGAAATGTAGTGTTAGTGGTCAGCCGATATCAAAGGTTATCTTGCACTGATAATCTTCTAAGCAGCTCAAAATATTTCCCTCTTTATTGTGAAATGTTTCATTGGTCTCAATGAGCATGTTCTCTCGTCTAGGTGATGATTTGTTGACCTGTTGGTTCAGTTGACTGCCTATAGCTTTGAGCTAGAGACTTCTTATACATTTGAGCCAGTTCTTCTTGGGTATTGGTTTCAGTCTCCTAACTCTCTTTTTGATCGTCGACTTCACAATCAAATTCATTGTCGTTGTTAGTCGGTGGTTGGGAGGTAATCAGTGCATGCTTAATAAGGAATAGGGTAACCATTTCAGCTATAGCAGTCCCTTTACAGATACTTTGAAGAAGGGTAATTCAATCCTCTTCAGTGGAGCATTTAAATTGTCCCTCCCTCCCTCCCCAAGGGCGCTTGTCTCGGGCTAAATTTAATATTTATATTTAGTATAAGGTTGAATAGTTTGCCTTTCAAGAATACTACCTATATCTTGCTCCTCAAAGAATATTCTCGGATCTTACCGTCTCTACAGCCCGGTAATGAGAGGATTCAGCTGGCAGGAAGCCAAGTCCCGCTCCAGAACATGTATAGCTGTCCTGAGTATGTTTCTCACATTGGTACGACAGAGAGCAACTGTTTTGCAACCACTGGAAGGTTGTAGACGGACCCTTTCTATCATCCAAGGTGCTATGGTCTAGTGGTATGACGCCACGTTGTGGTGAAGACAGCTCTCTGTTCTCCTGCAACTCCGTGTTAGCCCCGGTTCGATTCCGGGTAGCGCCATGTGCTTTTTTGCTTTTGCTTATATCAGCATTTGTTTATTAACTAATGGTTTTTTTTTTAGCTATTCAGGATAATAAATATGATTAATCTTTTTTTCGGATTTCAATTAGGGTTTCTTTTTCTTAACCTAGGAACCTAGAAGTATATTCATCAGTCATCCTCAGTTGTTGTATAATAAACCTCATCCGGGCAGAATATAACTGATGTTTCTGGTTTCATGCTGTGGGCACGCCAGGACATGGGTTATGTGGCCAAAGTTCAAGCTGTATTCCATCTAACAGGTGCCGTGGTCTAGTGGTATGACGTCACGTTGTGGTGAAGACATTTAGTCGTCCTACAACCCCGTGTTAGCCCCGGTTCGATTCCGGGCGGCGCCAGTCTCTTTTTGCTTTTAATTTCTTTTTTTGTTTCTCTTGCTGATTAGTTGATATTATTCAATCACAGTATATTTTCAAATAAGTTGGGACTATTCAAATCAGGGCCCTAGCTTCGGTTATAAATAACTTATGACGCAGACTATCTTTCAGGGAGGTCTCTACTCACTCTTCCAGATATATGGTGTATGGGGTCAGCGCTATCAAAAAAGAATAGAACGAGAGCGACCAAGCTCTTCAACCCTATGGACAATGTGCCAGTGCACCTGCATGTCAAACAAGCATAGATCAATCTTATGGGCAGATCGAAGAGATCAATTCATGATCCCAAGCTCCGACGATAGGAAAGGATTAATAGAAATGTGATGGATGCCTATTATAGAGATCAAGGCTGAATCTATATATACTTCTAGCCAATAGGGTAGTGGACCAGACAGGCAATAGATAAGGATATTAAAGCTGATGATGATTTGTTTAATCCTTGTCCTCGACTTCATTATGAGACAACAAAAGAATCCTATTTTGCGGCGTTGGAGCTGCTTCCGGATTCTTTACTTATTAGAGAGTTTACTTCTTCGATATACAAGATAATAAAACACAAATAGAGATAGATTCAAGATATAAGAGTTATGTTTGGTTTTGGTTATGCTATTTTCGAACCTCAAGTGAGAAGGAAGCTGAGGTGAAGCAATTCCATCCAATCTCTTCAAGAAGGGCTGATCATAAATCTTCTATAATATCTGAGTTACCTTGTTCATATTCCAGCACCAAGTAGCTATTAGAATATCTTCCTGACCTCTTCCCATAAAGTGACTTGTCTGCGAAATATGGCTTTTAGATCTAGAAATGAATGCCTGGAAGAAGTGTTATCTTAAATACACCAGCTTTTATAACAAGAATATATGTTTATTTATATGTTGTCGAATTTACCACTAACAACACTCAAAAGGTGTAAAGACAGCTGTGTAGTGTATGAATTATTTGTACATTCTGACTTCTATGCTTCGATAGCAAAGACAGACCATTGATGTATCTCTTCACCAGAATTAAGCTATTGTACCTTACTACATCAGAGGACAAAGTTGACTCTCAGATGGCCAGACTAGCTAGCTATCTCTCCCATATATATAAAATTATAAAATCTAAAGACAATAAATAATAGAGAAAAAAAAAGAAACTGGCGCCGCCCGGAATCGAACCGGGGCTAACACGGGGTTGTAGGACGACTAAATGTCTTCACCACAACGTGACGTCATACCACTAGACCACGGCACCTGGTAGATGTAAGTTGGACTAAACTTTGGTTACATTAGCCAAGCCAACTGACCCTGCCCTAATCTTGCTTGTATCTGTCATCCCTTCAGCCTACCATAGTTGTATTATTCTTAGGTATAGCCTTTGGTTCTTTTTAAGTTGCTGACGGCTGAGTATAATATATAGCTTATATTATTATCTACCTAACTATATACAGACAATACTTCCCTTGTATAGACTACTATACAAAATCATAAATCTGTTTTTATACCACAGTCTAATAAAAGCATTTATTCCTATCTATACAGGTGTAAAAATCCATAGGAAAAGTTTCAAAAATCAACATAGATTTTTCCTTGCACTCAGCATATAAAGATAGCAAAGTAGAAAATTCCGAATAAAAACTTAGTATTTTATAATCTTTTCATAATATTTCGTCTTCCCCGTACTAGGTTTATATCTAATTAACCCGTCCTTTGATCATAATGATCATAGTCCCCTTTCCAAAGGATTTTACACACCGGTTTCCATGTCGAGTTGTCTTTCTATGTATAAGTTGCATCTATTACGAAAGGAGAATTAGTCTACGCGATTTAATCGATTTTTGCGATGCGGGTTGCCTGACTGAAGACTCGGTCGTAACGGCAGTCTGCTCAAAGCAGGCGGGGCTGCAGGGTCAGAAAAAGCGTCTTAATTTGGCGGTTACTCAGACCATACAGCAATATTAGAAGAAACTTAGTGAAAATGCGCACTTCTAGTACCAGCGTTACTACCAAAATACTCGGAATATATAGATGCACCACTACTGTCATTATCGGGCCCTGCTGAGGTGAGCATATTATACTTGTCCAACGTCACGGAATGGGAAGTATGTCATGCATCAATGTTTTGCTTTTTGTATTTCCGACCCCTGGACAGGTACAGGATTGGTTGGAAAAGGCGAGCCTTGCAGTAATCCCTAGCCCTGTGCACAGAAAATCCCCTGGGCTACTGTAAGCATAATCAGTAAATCATAGAGCACCCCGCTTATTGACGAATAGCCAGGGCAGGATCCACAGTAGACGAGCAGACGAATAAGAAGTTGGATTGGCACTTGGGCCACAAAGCAGGACTTAGAGTGAAGCACTGTTCTATCTCCGCATCCAATCGGAGTTAAATCCTTACCTCTGGGCAGACTGAGTATATAATGATATGCAATCGATTGAGACAATCAATGAAGGATCATCAGATAATAGCATCAAAGAATCCGATTAAAGAGTCATCCTCCTATCTCACACCATGGCAACGGAAGTAAAGCTGGTCCTCATCACTGGTAATGTGCCTCCGCTTGCTGATCAACCAGCCACCACTCCATCTAACAGAGGCTAGGTGCCAACCAAGGAATTGGGTTCGAGACCGCCAAGGAACTGCTCCTATCTGACATTTACCATGTCATTGTGGGATCTCGCGATCCAGTGAAAGGCGAAGAAGCCGCAAAAACCTTACAGGCGACCCCCGGTATCAAGGGCAGTGTATCTTCGATTCAGATTGACGTGACCGATGACAAGTCCGTGGACAGCGCTGCTGCCCAGATCGGATCTCAGTATGGACGACTTGATATCCTGGTGAACAACGCGGGTATCAATATCTTGACGAAGTCACCAGACCGGGAGGCACTGTGCAAGATCCTGGATGTCAATGTCGTCGGCTCCCTCAGCACAACCGAGGCCTTTCTGGATCTGCTTCGAAAGTCCTCTGAGAAGCGCCTCGTGTTTGTTTCGTCCAGCATGGGCTCCATCGCACACGCAGCAGACCCCACGTCCATTTACTACCGACCTCAGGGTACCGAATATCGCACCAGTAAGGCGGCAGTCAACATGATGATGGTCATGTATATGGCTCGATTGAAGGATGAGGGGTTCAAGGTGTTTGCAGCGGACCCAGGATTGTGCGCTACTAACCTTATTGGCGATCTTCAATCCCTGCGACAAAGAAATGCGGCAGAGCCGGCAGATGGGGGTCAGAGGGTCGCGGCGGTGGTTAAGGGAGAGAAGGATGCGGATGCTGGGAAAGTCCTGGGGGTGTATGGGGTGTGTCCATTTTGATGCCTGAGATGGTGCACTGGTCTACGGCCAGTCACTGGAGATGAGAGGTATGCGTGTTATGGCCTTGTGATTGGTGGTGTAGCATGATGTATGATAGTCTGAGAAATGTGTCATTCAAAGAGGTATGTGCTGGAAATACGAGATTCTCTTTTCCAAGTGTCTATTGGATGCCAAGATGAGTCACGTCGATATGCATCGTGAGGATGAGTCAATGAAGAGTATAGACAGGTATAGTAAGTACTAGGTACCAAGTAGTATGTCGGATAGACACTACGTCGGAATGCTGTGTAGAACAAGAGCATGCAGCCTGCATGCCTGAATCAGGCAGGGGTGAGTCAGAGCCTGAGTCAGCGGGGGCCCGGCGGGGATCTCGGCGGTGAGCCCCGATTGCGCATAATGAACAGCTAAAAACCTGAGGTGGGAAGGCATGCCTCCACCACGATTACCCCTCGTTTGTCGGACGCTCTCGCTGCGACGTTACTGTCGGCCTGCTATCATGGAGAGCCGCCAACAGCCCCCCTGGCAACAACCGCCAGCTCACCCCGATGCTCGTCTGCCACCCCTCAAGGTCTGGAACTCCCTCACCCGATCCAAGACCCCCTTCGTGCCATTGGATCCCAAGGGCCGGAAGGTCACTTGGTACGCCTGCGGCCCTACAGTCTACGACGATGCGCATCTCGGCCACGCCAGAAACTATGTCAGCACCGATATCCTGCGTCGAATCCTGCGGGACTACTTCAAGTTCGACGTGGAGTTTGTCATGAACATCACCGACGTTGATGACAAGGTATGTGTTATTGTTCTGCGGGTATACTTTCTCGAGGGTTGACGGTCTCGCTTTCAGATCATCCTCCGCGGCAGACAACAGCACCTGTTCAACAAGTACATCACCGCGCACCCCACGGTCACGCCGGACGTCCTCGAAACCGCCCGGTTGGCGTACATCGCCTACATCAAGAAGAACCTTCCTTTGGTCGACCCCGAGACGAAACCGGAGAACTTTGTCGCGGAAGCGGAGAAGGTCTATGGAGTGGTTCTCCAGGGTGGGGCTCTGGAGGCGGACAAGAAGCCCGGCGATGCGGAGGTCAAGATCAAGATGCATGTCAAGACCGTGACAACGACGGCTTTGGCGATTGAGAAGGTCGCCAAGAGCTCGGCCAACGATGCGACTGCCAGCCAGCCCTTCTATGACGCCGCTCAGGATGTATTCTGCTTCTACCTTGATGTGACTGAGGGGGCTACCATTCCCGGCAATGCGCATGAGATCTTTACGAAACTCACGAAGAAATACGAGGACCACTTCATGCGGGATATGCGGGACCTGAACGTTCTTGACCCTGATGCTATTACTAGGGTCACAGAATACGGTCAGCAGATCGCCGACTTCGTGGAGAAGATTGTCGCAAACAAGTATGGCTACGTGACGTCGGATGGCTCTGTCTACTTCGACATCAAGGCTTTCGAAGAAGGCGGTAACCATTACGCCAGACTCGAGCCCTGGAACCGCAACAACCAGCCTCTGTTGAGAGACGGCGAGGGTGCTCTGTCTCGAGCCACCGAGAAGAAATCCCCAGATGATTTTGCCCTCTGGAAGGCATCCCGCCCGGGTGAGCCTAGCTGGTCCAGCGTGTGGGGCCGAGGACGACCGGGCTGGCATATCGAGTG